CCCCAGCTCCCTGGTAGCCCCTTCAGGCACTGGAAGGTGCTATAAGGTCTCCCCGGAGCCTTCTCTTCTCCAGGCTGAACAAGCCCAATTATACAAATGGCTGTAAATACATCTTTGTCTCATTTAGGGATTAATAGTTTGACTCTCTTGATTTGTTGTACTTCAGGCAGAGGTTGGGAGGAAGAGGGGACTTTTCTCCATGACTGCAGCAGTTCTGTACCTAAGGTGGCTGAGTTTGCTTTATTTTCCAGATGTTCTCAGTTTGCTGCTATTTAAGAGAGTAAAAAAACTATTGTTCAACCTGTCAATATTCCATTTTAAGTATCCTTAAATGGTAAATCATGAACCAATTTTTTTCTTTGTTTGCAGACGTCAAATAGTATTGGGTTTGGAAAGGAAACAGAACGGTCCATGACTATGAGTAAATCAGTAATACCTGATATTCCCTCATCACACGAGAGTTTGATCAAGTGGGCTTTTGAGCATAAGTATAGTCCGGTTACTTCCTACACAAAAGCCCCTGTTGCTAACAGATTTCATCTGCAACTTGAAGATACAGGTAAGCTTGAAGATGAACTTTTAGTGTATTAAAAAAGTATCTTGTATTTCCAGGAATATGACAATTCGAAAGGTGCGTTCTCAGTTTTGAAGTTTTGTTGTTGGGGGTTACATTACTATCACTGCTCATCATCATGATTGCTGGTAATGTCTTAGTGCTGTGGCTTTTTTATTAGAAAAATCCAAGCAAATTGTGTTATTTCCTGATACATTGATGGAATTAAACGGCTGTAGTTTATCCAACTCAGAAGCCGTTATAGCTGACCGTGCTCAGTGCTCACTGGAACAGACTTTAGAAACTGGATATCTTGTTAGGTAATAAATCCCTCCCTGCCACCGAAAAAAAAAAAAAAAAAAGTATGAGCCTAGTGGTTCCTTGAGACAATTAAATGAACATTTAAGTTGTTTAGAGACAAAACTGGCTTACCAGAAAGGTCTGACTGAATGGAATCTTTACAAGCGTTTCAAAAAATTTAGTTATTTGGCCAAAGTCATTGTTGATGTAAAGATATCTGGGTTCATTGAAGCTAGGGGAGTTGCATCTGCTTTTTCACTGATTCTGAATTTCAATCACTAAAAATGCTGTTTAGCTGTTTTGATTAAATTATGTTCACATGAATTTTATCAGTTGCACTCTCATGGGTTACAGATAATTATCTGCTAGGGCCAGTTGTTGAGATTATGTTGAGCCAGAAGATAGTGTTCTCATTTATTCAGTATAAGGTTAACTCTCGTTTAACTTCACTCTGGTGATGTAAGTAGTTCCACATCAGTGGGGTGACGGAATTTCACCCAGTGATTTGCACTTACACTACTTTAGTGCTTCTGAAATAGCCTATTTGCTAAATGTGATGCTTCTTTTACTTCTGTGGTTGCCTTTTGAAAATAATAGACCCACTCCTCAAAACCTATTTTCAGCTCTTAGTGAGGCAGATTTCTAGCAGGGACTAAATATATCAAGATTAGTTTCCTCAGTAACAACTAAACTCTTAGTGGAGGAATTGTGGTTAGTTACCTGAAAAGTACAAAGATACTGCTTTGGATTTCTTTCAAGAGGTTCCTTTCCAAATAATTTTATTTTTTTGGTATGAAAATTATTACTTCTGAATACTTTTAGGCAAAGTATTGAACGAACTAATTTTTTTTTTTTTTTTTTTTAGAAGAGATAAATGATGAAGAAGACCATTCCCTTCCTCCGGAGCTGACAGAATTGCTGGGTGCTAATCCACTGCCTGCACCAAAGAATCCTGCGTTAAGTGATGGCTTGACTTTTCCTTTTCACATTAACAGAGGAAGACATGACACAGTGGGAGAAGGAATCTTCCCATCCAGGGATTCTGTAGATACCTTAATAAATGCTGACTTTGAGCATTCCCTCTCAAAACATAAAGAACCAGAAGAGGTTCAGGGCAGTGCTGATGTAGCCCTGTCAATAAAGTGTGATCATAACATCATGACAGTAGCTGTAGAAAAAGACTCTCTGCAGGTTGGTGTCATCTTTTATTCTCAGATTTGGGCAGAACATTTTATTTCATAGAATCGTAGAATTATTTAGGTTGGAAAAGACCTTTAAGATCATCAAGTCCAACCGTTAACCCAGCACTGCCAAGTCTACCGCTAACCCATGTCCCTAAGCATCACATCTACACATCTTTTAAATACCTCTAGAGATGGTGACTCAACCACTTCCCTGAGAAGCCTGTTCCAATGCTTAACCTTTTGGTGAAGAATTTTCTCCTATTTGTATTTTGGTTGAAAAAATAAACATTTTAAGATCGACAGCTATCACCACCCAGACCCCCAGAAAATAGTTTGGTGAGGAAACCGTACTGTAGGTATTCTTTGCCATAACTCAGTGTCATGTTTCCTCTTACCAACAATCCAGTAATATCTGATTAAAGATTTGCAGAGTTGGTTCTGTCAAAACATTACTGTACTCAACCATCAGTCTGAGTTTTAATCTCCAAAGTATAAAGAATCTGCTCTTGATAGTTGTGTGAGACCTGGATAGATCTGTTTCTACTATCTACCAGCTGACATGTTGCTTGTGTCCATTTGCATTGTGGAAGAGAGCCTGATACAGACAGCATTTTTAGCTCATTTCAGACCAAACAGAGTCAGCATTATTAATCAGCAGATTAATAATGAACCTGTTGTTTTCTTTGTCCCATGTTACATTTATTCCCTGTCTGTCGTGTATAACAGTGTTTTGAGAGTGACCTTCCCTGGATGTCAGTACACTGAACTTTACTTCCTCCAGTCATGAGCAGTATTCTGAACAGCACTTTAAGCAAGAGCCTAACACAATTGTGTTTCAGCCACTTACAAAGTGCCTTTGTTTCAGGCTAGCGGCTACACAAGGACAGAACTCTCACTGCTGGATCACTCTTGCAAAGCCAGGATGAATGGTACCCATTTCATTTTGGAGTCTTTGCTGAACAAATGTGGGACTCGGACAGCATATATCTTTAACAAGATTGTTTATTTTAACTCTGTGAGTATTTTACAAAGAGGACCTGCTTTCTGCACTGCACGTCGTAGTTGTACAAGGAAGCCAGTGTAGTTAGCTTTAGCTTTAGCAAAAAGGAGGCATCCTGATCTTTTCTTGTCCAGCTCAAACCTAGTTGCAGTTACAGTCCCTGTATTCAAGGAAGTATGAAGGCTGCACATTCAGTGTGCTCCTGTGGTGTATCCCAAAGGAAAAAGGAGGAGTTGGAGTTAAATACTCTTACAGAACTGTGTGGCTGCACTTTGGGTACCATCTGTACCAGTCTCGGAGAAGTTACACCAGCTTTCCCTATGCAGCTTTGATGTACCCATACAAAAGCAGTGCTAGATGTAAGAAGGAATAGGAATGAAGTTCCGTGATTGCACAAAACAGTACCATTTAATTCATATGTTGAATTATTTCAAGTGAAATTCGTTCTTTCAAAATTGTTTGTGGAAAAAAGCTTCCAAAATGTGAGGAAAAGACATTATCTGTTCATGCTTCTGTCTTATAATTTAGATTCATATTTGCTATCAGTTGATGTATGTGAGGAAGGGACTCTGAGTAGTTTTATAAGAGGGGTGATGCTAAGGAGCCCACTTAGGTTCTAAGTGACTGCTTCCAGACTGGCTTGGGTTGGAAAGTAATGACACGTTTCTCTGAGCTTTCCAGTACATAGAAGTAACCTTGGCAAGTGATGGAAAGCCTGTGGTCCAACCCAAACATAGCTAAGGCAATCTGATCTGACCTTGCCTGGCTAAAACTGTTTTATACTGGTAAGTCTGTAGCACCTAACTTTAGAAACAGTCCCAAACCAAGACTCTGGATAGGAACATCAACATACTACGGAATAGCACATATCTGGAGCTGAATACTGTCCTTGTCCCTATATTCCATTATGGCCCAAACTAAAATGGATATTTGCTTTCTCTTATTTCTCCATCCTGTTTTTTAATAATCTTGGCTGCTCCCTTAAAGTCCAGATAATGCAAGGTGTCTTTCAGAATTTGGGAGCATTTCTCAAAAAAAAAACCAACACCACGCAGTGGAGTCTCCGAGAGTGTATATGTCACTTCTCAGCAGTTGCTCTATGTCCAAGAAAACAAAGTTGAAGGCGTGGAAGGGAGGGGACTAATTGAGGACCTGCAGGGCATACAGAAGCAGAGTGCAGAACATTGGAAAACAAAAATAGGAATTTTCAGGTGAAGAAATGTAGAAGTGTGCAAAGGAGGGAAGGGGTGGGGGAAAAGGGAAATCCAGTAGAAATTCAGAGAAAAGCAACAGAGGAAAAAATGCAGAAAGGGGCATCATGTGTTTGCGTGTATATCTTTGAAAAGTATGTAAATGGCAGAAGAGAAAATCCTTTAATGACCCTAACACTCTCAGTGATTTTCCATGAGTGCATTAAGGAAAACTGTAAGTTGCAAAAAACCACTTCAGAAAGCCCTTTCTTTTTGAAATGTTGGTTATAGAAATACCAGAAATAGAATGGAAATGCTAGGGTGCTCATTCAGACACCACCACCTAGACTGGTGTCCTTCCTGAATTTTGGGAAAAAAATGCAAAACAACACAACTAAGGAGCATTCTCTATTACCTGCATATCTTACATGCTCAGCACAAGCCTGTCTTAAGACATGCTTTCACCATCTGCTTAGCGGGTGTGCTTCTTTTGGCCTCTGCATTGTTCTGAAGAGAGAAGGAAATAATAACCATGAAGAGAGAGTGCTCAGTTATCACCTAATTTTATGTGTTTGCAATACCTTTTGTGCAGATTGTCATTCAGCTGTCATCACCAGCTGAAAGCAGCGGCTTTGATGATGATGACATGGAATCAGGTGATAATGGATTTCCAGGGGATGCTGACGAGGGAGATATTGCTTTCTCAAGTTGGCCTGAAATAGCGGTATGTTACTCTTGGGTTTGCACCTGACAATAGAGAAATGCCTACTGTAATAGGCACTTCACATAAATACATTAATTGCATAGCAATTAATTTGTCTTTTACATTTCTTCTCATTTCTGTTTCTTGTGACCCTGTTAAAGATTTGCACTAAGCAGAAAGAATGTGGGTGGGCCTGGATTGCACACTCCAAATTTGTCCTTAGCCAGCTACCACTCCTGACTCAGGATATATTTGTATTGTCTTTTTCATTTCAGTTTAATTGCACACTGCACCAACCAGAGGATGACAGAGGCACATTGTGGCCTTCTGAACCACACATCACCAACGTGACCTTCAACATGGAGCTGTACAAAACAGACCTGTTCCTTGCTCCCTCCCAAGGACTCTTCTCTGTTGCTGAGAATGGGCCAATATATGTAGAGGTAACAAACTGAAAAATGCTTTCAAACTAACAGAAACATTTTGCAAGGCCATGTAACTGAGCCAAATTTGTGCATGTCAGTTAAAAGGTCTGATTGTGCAGTTGCTTTAGGCAGACAGGTAGGTACTTGGGTGGCTGCAGAGAACACAAACTGGGAGGTAGGAAGCAGGACTATGTTTTGGGTCAAAACCAAAGGATTCTTGCAAAATGGATTAATTTAACTACAGGGTGAATTTGTCATTCTTGCCAAGTCCGCTTTTCTGTGCAGAACTTAAAGGTGGTCTCTGAGCTCTTGCTCTGAACTGGCATTTCCTGATGAAGACTTCAGTGCTCATTTTAGTGGGTAATGTGGGTGAACTTTATCTGAAAGATGTAGACATGCAAAAAATGGCTACAAGTGTCTGTCTTCCATATGCTTGTGTTCTCGGGTTACAGAGTTAATACAGATTGTGATCTCTCTCCAATTCACCTACAAACACCAATTACAATCCTTCTGAATACTATCACACAAGAGATCTAACAGCTTCAGAGAAGACTAGCAAAGTCAGCCAGGTACCCTTGACTTCAGGTGCATTTTGGACCTAGTAATATTTCCATGTGTTGATAAGTTGGTTTGAAATTCCCCAGATTTCATAAACAATACAGTCGGTATTTCTAAAGATAGTCAGAATTTGGCATTTTTCAAATAGCCGTTGGCGTTACTAAATAGCACATAGGCAGTGAAGTAGTATCCCCCGTTCATAGATGTGCAGATGAAGGAATGATGAGCTGTGGGCTTCTAAGACCAGAAAAATGACTATTTTGACTGAAGCAGTGCTGTGCTGTGATTCTCCTGCTCAAGCTGGTTCCTCTTTGTGAGCCCACGTTGCATGTGATAAGCATAGTGGCCCATTTGATACTGGTACCGCTTTCTTCATTCTTTCAGTGTGTTGTGGCTCTTCCTCATTCTCTACCCAGTGAGAAGTACTTAAGACAGTTGAAGCAAAAAGAAAGTATGTCATGCTGAGTTAAGAATATGTTTATGAAAGACACGGTTGTTTTTTTTTTTCATTTGAATAAAAGCAGCTGCTTCCTGCATCCCCCTGGCTCTGAACACTCTGGATTTGTCTGGTTCTGGAGCTGTTTATTCAAACAGATGTTCTGATTTCTTCATCACCTGTCCTGGCAGAGGCCTTTTCTTTGTGTTTCTCCTTCTTGCACAGTGGAAAATCTGTATCAGTTTTGAACTTCTGTGACTCCATTTTTAGCTGACAAGGATTTTTTTTTGTTTGTTTTTCTGTTTTGCTTTTGTTATTAACAAATTCATTTTTGGGTTTTAGCCAATAAATTACGTAGGTTATAATCTGTAAGAACTCTCTATCAGCCACCTTCTCTGCTAAAGATGTTTTTTGTATTTGAATCTTTTGGCATTTTTTTCTTTGTTTCCCTACTGTCATTTTCTTATCGTATTTTGGTCTCACCTTCCTTCTGTAGTTAACTTCTTGAGATATCATTCATCCTTTTATTTACCTGATGGTGTTTCATGATCCTGTAGTATGCCTGTCTTCCTTGCCACGATGTCTTTTTTTAACTACTTTACACCATCAGCTTGTTTACCTGTCTGTGGCTTGACTTTCACCGGTTTTTGTTTCTGCTCTTTTCAGAAGATGGTCTTCCTTGCTTAGATGCATTAACACATCCCTTCATCTCTAATTTGATTGCTGCTCACATAAGGGAGAGAAAAAAAGAAAAATGACGTTATTCACTGCGCAATTCATAGCATCCAAAAATTTCTGTATAGACCACAGGAAAATTGGCAGGCTCTTCCTTAAATACACATGCATCACATACAGATTAAGCACACATTTAAGGCGCCTTGCTTTTAAGAAAGAAATTATTTCTTGTGGAACTGCTTTCATCAGGTAGTGTTAATGGTTAGGCACAACACTTCTGATGTTTATTAAGAGCTACATGCTTCATTTGTTACAAATTCCATTTAAATTTTTTCCTAATTATTCTGTAGCATTTGTTGTCTGCATTCCACCCCAGCTGCAGAACAGCAGTGCCCTCGAAGTTTGCAGTCTTAATTATTTTTCATAAAAGAATATGAATTTCAGACTTAAACTAAAAGGCTCATTTCACAAGAAATTATGGCTTTTTAAGAGGCTCCCCCGCGCCTAGGAATGCCACCCACACATCAGACCATGACCTCTTCTCTGCCTCTGCATTCCTCTCCTGGCTGGGGGTTGGTTCTCTGTTGTGTCTGTTGCTTTTTTTTTTTTTTTCCATTTTCAATTAAAGTTTCAAACAGATACAGAGACATGGAATTAGTAATTGACTTACGCTCAGCTGGATTATAGTCTGTGTCAAAGGGAAGTGGTACCATCTCAGGTGGCAGTCGCAGTCATCAACTCCATGCTGATCTGGACTGGGTTTTTCATCTGCTTTCAGAAAAGAAAAGAAAAGGAATTTGGAGATAAGGACTTGCTGTATGTATACATGGTTATGCTGTTAAACAGCTGTTGGTTTTGAAACCACAGATTTTCTGTCTCTCAATTTGACAGTCTGCCCTTAACATTTAGCCTTCAAAATAGTTCAAATTGGAAGTGGTACTGGAAAACTGCTTAAAAAAAATGGTTGAAAATGTTAATGAAATATGAACTAAAAATGTAATTTCTGAGATCTTACCATCTCTTTCTTTTTAATGCAGGTGTCTGTGACTAAAGCTGACAGATCTTTGGGCTTTGCCATTCAAACATGCTTTGTTTCCCCGTTTTCAAATCCAGATAGAATGTCTGACTACACTGTTATAGAAAACATTTGTCCTAAAGATGAATCTGTTAAATTCTACAGCATCGAGAAGGTGAACTTTCCAATACCACATGCACAGAAGGACAAAAAAAGATTTAGCTTTGTGTTTAAACCAATGTTCAACATCTCGCTGCTCTTTCTTCACTGCGAGTTGACTTTGTGTACAAATAAAGATAAAGATACTCAAGGACTGCCAAAGGTCAGTAATTTATTCCAGTCAGAAGTTCTGATTCAGGTGAAGATAAGATTCTTTTTGATTTTTAATCTGAACTTTGAAGTGAATAAATGGTTTTCAGTGGAATTGATGTAATGAATGTAGTAACTCTAGGCTCAAGATTTTAATAGATAAGTTGTGATACTATGCGTTTTGACTGCATAATTTAAAGTTTCTATTTAAATTTCATTAGGTGATTATGTGGGATAAATAGAAATTGCTTTTTATTATGTAAGTGGTTCAGATCTATCTTTGCTATCCGTATCACATCCATATCCAGTATTGCAATCTGATTGTTTCAAAAGAGAATTGCCAAATTTTGCTTTACAACTAATGGAAATAATTGTACATTAGTTGTTAAAGAATATGTTCAAGGATTTGAAATATATTTTTACTTTGGGGTCTGTGCACATCTCCCTTAAAACGTATTTTTAAAAGACAATTTCTTGTCGTTGATCAACACATGTTGGTGGCTACAGTTTTGGCTACCAGATTTTTATAAATGTTTTTAAACTAGAAATAATTACTACCGTTTAAGTTCAATAGGAACACTCTCAGAAAGATTGGAGGATCCTTAATGAAGGCAAAGCTTGCATCCTGAAGCACCAATAAAAACTACCTTTGCCAGTACATTACACAGGGATTGTTTGGAGGTTCTCCTCTATGTTTTTGTAAATAATACAGAATAGAGCTGATAGAGGCAACTGTGCAGCTGTCCCGGCAGACGGGTGACTCTCTGACCTCACACACTGATTTTTATTTTTTTCCCCTCAACCGCAGTGCATTCCTCCTGATGAAGCTTGCACCTCTCTCAATGTAGATATGATCTTGGCCATGATGCAAAACAAGAAAACCTTCACCAAGCCCCTTGTTGTTGTAACACATGAAGGAAAACCAGAAGGTATGAAAATAAACTGTTTAATAAAGCTATATATATATATCTCTATCTCATATTGTGTAACATACAGCTGCTTGAAATGGAGAACTCCAAGTATGTGGCATTCTATAATCTTGTGGTGATACCATGTTTGTAAGATGTTACTTGTTTAGACATTTCCCTGGCAGCAGTCATCATGGCAGTTCATTGATGTTTTTTAACCATCTTTACTGATCTCTGGACATGTGGTTGTGCCAGGCATTGAGAAAGAAACACACAACAATATGGGTTTTAGAAATAGGAATATAGCAGTAGCAACTTCCAGCAACTTCTTAGATCAAAGGCAGTGCTCTGCTCCCTGCCGTATCTTTTCTTTACTGTACTTGTAAATATGTATTTAGGAATAACAACACTGAAATTACAAAGTATTGAGGATGCTAACGCCTGATAAGTTTGTAAAGCAAATGGGTGGCCACCAGAGAGAGACTCATTAGACTGTTAAACTATTAAGAGCAAAAGATGAGATTGCACAAAGGCATTTAAGCTTCACTGTAGTGGGGCTTGTTTGATTATGTAATCTTCATGGGGGAAAAAACCCACGACTGTGGCTAGTAACTGGTTGATGGAGTTGGAGAGGCTGAAGAGCATTATGAGATAATGCCAAACAACATCATGATCTGCTAGCTTAAGAATATGCCCTGTGAATGATAGGAAGTAAGAACTGCTTTCATTTAATTTGAAAGTTTTTCTTAATTAATCCCCCTGACAACAGCATCAGTCATGCTTTGATGCATTCACAGAAGAATATATATGTGTGTTATCTTTTCTTTTTGTATTAGCACGGCAGTTTAATCAGAATCTTCAGTGCCTTCACGTGCACATCAAACTCTTCCAGTTGTGTCCAAAGGCTGTCTGACATTTGGAAAGCTTTCTGGGCAGTGCCAAAAGGATGGGTTCTTTAACCTCCATGCTACAGTGTGTGCTTCTTAGTCTTTGAACGATCTAAGGTGCCATGCAAAATTGCTAGGGGATATAAGCAGCAACTATTGCTGTTTAACTCTGAAGTCAGCTCATATTTAGTTTTGGGGTGTTTTTATAGAAATCTGTTAATACAGACAAATCCACTATGAGTTAAAGTCAAGTATTTGATCTGTTACTGTGGCACAAATAAAACTGCTTTGGGCCTGATTCTGCGCTTTTTTTTTTTTTTTGGCAAAGCACGCTTTTTTTAGTGGCTATTTGATTGGGAATGAGTAAATCCTGCAACTGAAGTTGAGCTTTCAATAAACAGACCTGTACTCTGAGCTCTCTTGCCCTTCCGATGTGTGGAGCATTGTGTGCAGCTCCCATCTCGGACTCCACTCAGAATGTGGTCTTTGTCAGAGGCACAAGGTCTTACTGTGCAAAGATGAGCTAAATTTATAAAGATTAGTTACAAGACAGCAGTGTAATAGACTATTTTGTTGCACTGTGGGTGATTTAGTCTAATTGTAGGATGTTTGGTGGAAATCTCCCCAACATATCACTGCTTTCGGACATAAAACAAAGTGGCACATCAACAACGTAGCTTTGTTGGCATGCAGTTGTTCTGCAGTGAATCACGTAACCCCTTCCTAAAAGCCAGATGCCATTGTTGGCCAATACATGAACCTAAGATTTGGAGAAGAAATTACGTCACATTACTGAATAAGAGAATTTACATCTCGGAGGTGGTGTTCATAATGTTCTTTCACGTGAACAGGCCAGATTTCAGTGCTGTAAACCATATTATGTGAGTTACTGCCACTGGATCTGCTCTCCAGGCCACGTGTAGAAGTCGTGTGCTTGACATTTTAAAAGTCAGAACAAACTGGTCATTGCAAAGGTGTCATCTTTTTTCCTTCAGACATAAGCTTATGACTGTCATTGACTGTAACGGAAAGCACAACTCTATATTCAAGTGAGAATTACTCTTCCTCCTCTCCTAATTTTGTTACGTATTTACAAGCTGAGTTGTCTACATATTGGAGTAGATCCCAATGGACGTTTCTAAAACCTAACAGCATGCCACGTTTTTTTTCACACACATGCTCTCCAACACTTCAGCAAAAGGAATATGGACAGCCATTTAAATGCTAGGAAATACCTGTTCTGTTGAAATAATCTAACAATGTCGTTGTCCAGATTTTTGCTAAGTGTGGAAATTTTAGATTATTATTTTTACAGCAAAAGGAGACAGATCATAGAAAGGAGGTCAGATGTGAAGCTAACAAGTGCCTCTATCCTTCAAAGGTATAAAAAGGTCACGATAATTTCTAAAGGCTTGCTGCTGATGTTCTGAAATAAGATGCTTTTTCTAGGCCTGAAAGATTCGCACTGCTTCTTTGTTGTTCTGAGCAAACCACATTAAAATACATTTAATAACTTGATGACTGGGGAGAATTGATAATGTGTTACACAGGCTATCATTAATTAGCAGACTATATATTCTTTATGTTCTGGCCAGTGACAAAATAAGCATGGAAAATTCATTCTCTCCTCAGCTCAGAAGGCATTTTCTTGGCACTTGGGATATGCTAGTAGAGTGTTTGAAGTATCTGATAGTGCCCTTACCCATGTTTGTACTGTTCAGTGCTCCTTGATTTCAGTCCAGCCCTCCTCACAAATCTTACATTCAGTTATGATTTGCTGTTATGTATGCTTGATGACTCTCCAGCTTATTGGTACATGCACACACACCCCCCTCGATGTTCTCACCAGTTTCCTACTAATGTTTCACCTGTTGCCTACCATCCTGCCAAGAGTGACCTGGAAGAGATACTCATGCATAGGAACAAGTGATAATAATGCAGTTTCAGAATAAAATGCTTTTTTGGATATTGTAGGCACTTGTGTCTCAGAGCCTAATGATCTTATAGGGTGTTTCTGACAGTTAGTGCTGCCATTTGGGGTTCAGAAGTTAGAAGCATAGTACTGGTTTAAGAATACTTTAAATAAATAAATATATTTATTTTCAGTATTTTTGAGCCACGATGTCTACATAGCAATTAAACTTTTTTCAGTTGCTAAAGATACAAAAACAAGTATTGGGATACTGTCTTACCAAATCCTTTCACATCTGTTGCACGGAACACACTCAAATATGTCAGAATTTAAGTGAGATCCCGGGGTTACTGGGCAATCCAGAAACAAACTGCAGCTAACCAAACAGGTCCTCGGGTCTGAAGCCAGAATCTCTGGCTCTTCTGCTTGAGGTGGCATTCTTGGAGAAAGATAAGAGAAGCCAGTTAAGCAAAAGAAAGGAAAAATCTTCATTTTTTAACATATGTTTACTTGTCTCTTTCTGTTACATGCTGATAATGATGATGATATTTGACATTCTTTCCAAGAATAATAGCTTTGATCTTTTATTTCCTATATATAACTAAAAAAAAAAAAAAAGAAAAAGCCACCCAACTTCCAAGACAGAATACCAAGTAGGACTCAGGAAAATGTGTGAATCCATGCATATTCATGCAATATGGACAAAGCAGTGTGTATTATGTCATAATAGTGACTTTTCTTTAGAGGTGATAGCCGGTGCTTGATTTTAATTTTTTTTGTGTGTGCATGCTGGTATCTCACGTTTGTGGTTGGTGCATAGTCTGATGAATGTGATCACCTTAAAACAGTCTTTATAATCTGTGCTCTTTTAAGAGCTCCACATAGGGATAGTCGGAGCTACTGTGGGTCAGACCTGATGACATCTGGGTGAGAAAGGTTGCAGCAAAATATATGATGCATGAACTTTCCTTAGGGGAACATAGCTACAGTAATGATCGATATATGAATAGAAGTTTTCTGAACTGAGCAAGACTATGGAATTTGGGTTGGTTTTCCTGAAGTTCTTGTTTTGTAAAAATAACAATTAATGTCTTTCGGTCAGATCAGATCCTGAAGGTTGCTTGCATAGTTTGTAGGCGATATGTAGAAATCTGACTAATGTTTTGTGGTTTTTGTTTTGTTTTTAAATTAGATCCTTCCCTTCCAAAGCCAAATGTGAGACAGCCACGTAAGTAACTCTTAAACCAATCTCTTAAGCCTTAAACTTTTGTTTAAAAAGTATTAGATCAATGAAGAAAATTATCTTCAAGCATTCTGAGTGTGTGTGTTAAATTCTGGGACAGAACTCGTACTCTGTTGCTGGTTGAGATCATAGAATCATAGAATCATAGATATTCCCATCAGTGTTTAGAGAAAAGGGCTGTGACCTCTTCTGTATGTGAAAATCAAATTTGGGAAAACACCATTGAGAGCCTCAACCTTAACGAGTTCATTTGCTGGGGTGTGTATGTTATTTTCCCCTTCTCTGCTCAGGCCACTGCTTCCCAGTACTAGGGTTTCAGCAGCAGTGCCACCTCACAGAGCTCCAGTGTTGTACTCCAAGCCTCACTCCTACCCTGCACTGCAGCTGGCCACATCCCCACTTACTCTGGCACCAGCACTTACAGATGGTCCTGTAGATGCGATCACCAACTTGATATGGATGCATTTCTCTGTTCTTTTCTGTTGTCTTGGCATAGTCAATTAATCAGGGTCAATTACTGACCCAGGAAGGGAAGACAAGGAGAGAAGCAGCACTAGAAGACAATAATAAACAGGAAGGTGAAGATGATTGGTAGCCAAATCCAAGAATAAATGGAGAAATGGCAGATTAAAAGAGGAAGTGCAAAGAAGGTTTTTTCCTCTGCTCCTGTCCCTATGTCTTTGGGACTGAATTTGCTCAAAATGGCAAGGGGAATGAGAAATTACGCTTCTGCTACTTCAACCTCCATGTGACTTTCTCCTCTCCACTAGGTTTCCTCCTAAGAGGAGAGGACACTGCTTTGTGGCAAAACAGTTGAGTTTAGGAGAGTCTTTTCTGTTTGGATTTAAAATGACCAGATGTGGCCGAAGGAATAAAAAACGGTCACTATCAGGTGCTGCATGTGCAAAGTTGGTCGCGGGCACGCAGAAATGGGTCCTGAAGGCCCTTGCCAACAGGAGCTGCTGGGGAAGACAGTTGTGAAAAAGGGAGAAGCAGAATGGCCCTGAGGATCTCAGGAGCTGTTAGGCTGGGGGATGTCTATAGGGACATCTGCTGGATGCAGGAGCATGTAAAGTAAGGGTGTTGGTTGTGTTTTGAGAACTGAAAACCCACGAAAGGATACTACTGAGAAGATCCAGTCCACTCATTTCCTGACCAGCTTAGCCAGTAAAACGTTATTCACTGGCCTAAGCCATTTTGTGCACTGGGAGACATTAAAAATACTGAAACTAGGAATCAATTTTGTAAGAACTTCCCCCAAATGATTGCTAAAAGTGTTGATTAATTTTTAAAGTATTTCTAATCATTGAGAAGAAAACCACAAAAGCTGAAATTTTCTCCTTTAGGATGGTTAACGCTTGGGAGCGATACATCCAGATGCTGTTACCCTTTAATGATACTGCAAAAGGGCCTCTCCCCCTGAAAGTGATTTGCGTGTGTGTGGTTCTATTTTTGTGTTCTGGGATTAATTTCAGTTATTGAAAGCATTGCCAAATGTGAAAAACAATTGTTTCTATTTATGTTTTCGCTGAATTTTGCTGGCATCTCTTCCCTCTTAACAGCAGTTCCGTTCTCCACCAAGATTTCAGATTGAACTTGCAGGAGATGTAGGGGAAAGTTTGCTTGAATGTTAGGGCATTTAAATGAAAATCATCTTTTGCCAAAAATCTCAGCCTCTTCAAAACATATTTTAAAGATTAATGGATAATTAATGGAAAGCAAGCTGTTAACAGCCAGCTGAAAATGCTTAATTGTTGCAATATTTTCCAGATTTGGGTGTGCTGAGCTTGGGTTTTGCTCTGTGGTGTGGAACAGTTGGTTGGACTGAAGCCAGTCTCTGAAAGCAACGCTTTTATTTCCTTGATGCAAATCTGCTAATCTGTTCCTTAAAACGGTGCTCAATTAACTGGAAAAAAACACTTCCATGAAAGTGTAAGGGTGAATTTTTGTAAAATTTTTTTTTGCCACTGAAAGCAAAAAGTCCTTATGATGTGTGTTTTACCTTTGTAGCTGTGCTCTACGGTCTGGACACGCTGACTGTTGTGGGCATTGCCTTTGCAGCGTTTGTAATTGGAGCCCTGCTAACAGGAGCGCTCTGGTTTATCTACTCTCACACAGGTGAGTATGAGGGCTCTTCCAGACCGCAGGGCAGGTGATGCTGCAGGAAATGTGGTGTGGTCTGAAGTCTTGCAAGGTGGGAGGAAAGTGGGGGGACAGCAATGGCTATCCTGGACTTGTTTCTTACTCTCTCTCTTACTCCTGCCATGACTCTGCTGGTGCATATCAGCAGATTGATACCCGCCCTTCCCTAAGGGGAGGTATTATGTGTTATGAACATGATTTAAAATTTGCTAAAATAATTTTAAACTCAAATCTTGAAAACTCAGCTGGGACATGGGTAAAACTGACTATTTCTGCTTTGTGCATTATCATTAGTAGCATCTCTGTATTTCAAATTTAGTGAGCATTTCAGTTACTGTATCCTTTTTGGTTCCTGTACTACTTTTAAAAAAACAGTTGCTGTTTTAGGCTGATGTGACTGTGAATGTGATGTGGTCAGTACAAGAAGTGGGCCAAATGGCTAAGAGAATGCTTTATTTACATAGACATATTCTGAATATAAGTAGACTTGAAATGTTTTTTGGCCTCTGATGACATTTTTGCCCCAATTATTTATTCCTCCTTTCTTCAACTATTACGTTATATTTGTAGAATTTGTGTGTAATCTCACTTAATTGTGTTCAGCTAAATAACCAGGAATGTGCCTGAATTGGTGCAGCCTTTATGCTTAGATAATTTTTCTGTATCTCCTCAGAATTTTTTTCCATACTAAACAAAGTCATCAGAAATACAATACTGTATTGGAAGAGGAGGGAGTTTTTGAGCTTTCTCTTGCATGTCATCTGCAAGGTGGTACAAAGACTGGACACTGATGGGGCCTTGATTTGCAGCACCTCACCTCGACTGCTTGTGGCTTACAGGGTATCTCAGGATCTCTACAGCATGCTGGACTCCCAACTCCTTCCCCTTTTGACCTCGCAAGACCCTACCAAGGTCTTTGGGAGTTGGGGAGAATGTGAGGTCAATTGTTTGAAACCTGTGGAGCTCTGGGGCACTAGAATTCTCCTGTAGCCCACTGCAGGTTTTTTGCAGCATCTAAAACCTCATGGAAGCTAGTTAGGAGTGAGAATCCAGTTCTCTTGAGTCAGAGCTTCTGTAAATATTATGACCCAGGAGCTTATGTTAATTTGGAAAAAAAAAAAAAAAGGGGTGGGGTGGGGTGGTGGTGTTTCCAGTTGGCAGTACAAAAACTTTGTATAAGCAGTTTAATATTTCTCAGTGCATCAGCTGTGTATGGAGCTTGTTTGGAATTGAGGCAAATGTGGAAAATTTAACGGTGGTGATAACATGTATAAATAGTATAATTCTGCCTCATACACTACTGAAACGTTTTTAGTGGGAGAAAAGTAAGTGGAATTTCAGTGAGTAAATATGTAAGTTAAGTAGGTAATTTCCACATAGGTAACCTTTATTAACAAAAAAATAAAACAATTATTAGTTTAATTGGGCCAGCATGTGTGTAAGTTCCATCTCTGTTCATATACAGAACCATCTATAGACACATGTTGTGTGTCAGTAGTCAAGAGTCATTGGGAAGCCAACATGATAAATCCTTCAGCAACAATAGAACTTGGACCAGTTCCATTAAAAGAATTACATTAACAAAGTACATTGGTCATAGTGACCACGTCCAAATAGTGGAGGGGGCAGCTACTCTGGCTCTGTTTGAGAGACAAAAATAAGTGGAGAAAAAGGCCATATAAAACGTAATAAAAGAGAAGAAAAGAAAGGCAGGGGACGTTGTAACTCATCAGATCAGAGGATCACAGAAATGGTAAAAAATATCTAGAAAGTTATAGTTATCTGGTTCAGATTTTCAAAGGATTATGAAAGTGAACCTATGTTCTTGTGCACTTAATTTTTCTGTGCATAATATCTTATATCTACAAAGCACAACTTGCAGCAGAGTGCAGTGAAGGCTCTGGCACGGACAGTCTCTTAGAGAACAACTGCTGTGACAGACAGATAATCCAGCTACAGTGGAAACACTTTAGACCTGTCTGCAGTCGTTTACTAAAATAAGGAGGGGGAAAAAAAAAGATTATCTGAATTTCATCTACAGAGTGGCTGTCTTTTGCCATTAGAGAATTCATGCATTGCTAAAACCTTATCTTTTGTTGCAAGTAGCATTGGGTTTCTGACATGATTTAGACCGAAGGTTGGAAAATAGGAGTTCACTATAAAACTGTGTTGTGGCGATACTCCAAGCATGGACAAAGGCTAGTGCTGGTGGGGAGTGGCAGCTTGGGATGCGTGAAGTAAGGTATTTTTGTTGCTGTAGTGCTATGTGCAGTAGAGCAAAAGGCCACCTTTTTGCCAGTTGTCAGAAGGTTTGTGATGATACACTTTTATCAGTATGTCTCTACTGGCAGACTCATTCCAGCATGGAGAAAGCTTTACATGAATGAGCTCTTTTGTGCATCTTGATAGGCCGTTAACATTAAAACCTCATACAACTGATGGCAGAAATGAACTGCAAAATATGCAGAATTTAATCTCCAAATATTAAACAGGGATTGTTGTGTTGAGCTTTTTCATGTAGGGCTTTTGCTGATTTCAGTCATGAACAATTTCTGCTAAAGCATCAAAATTATGCTTTAGAATACTCTAGATTCTCTGGAACAATTCAACACAGTATAGATGTCCTAAGATACAAAGTTAATAGGGGACTAGAGAGGGGAAGCTAGGATTATAGCAACAGAGGAGGAATTCTAGACGACTTTTCTGCAAAAGGGCTCTGTACTTTTGATCCTTTATCCAATCAGTTAAAGGACGTGAAAGATGAGTGAAAGCTTTCCACAGCGGTGTTGGTCCTGCCTGGAGAGGACCCAAGAACAAAAGGGAAAAGTAGCAGAGATTTGCCACAATTAACCCGATTTACTTGGGTGTCTTAGGAAGAAACAAAAATTTTGCAGTGTGCATGGATGCAGAAATCTAACCGTATAGCAGTGTAAAATCTGTGTTAATAGGGATAATTGACTATGATTAGGAAGGGATATGCACAGTCTGATTAGGTAATTAAGGTGCTAAAGCAAGTAAATGTGTTACAGAGAACAACAGTCACTTCATTCTCTTAGAAAGCGTGCTTTCCTTCTCCAGGCGGTGTTGCAAGTTAAGAGGATAAAATGTTCCAAAATCTGAGAAGTTAAAAGCGGCCCTCCTCCCCCACTTCTCCCGTTTTTATGGGATCTGATTTAAAATAAACTGACATAGCAACCAATTATATTTGGCAAATGGAGATAGAAAAGCAAACATTCAGACTTCCTGGACAGGGAGTACAGCTGGCAGCTTTCCTAAGTGTGAATAATAAAGTGCATGTTGTTGCATTCGGATGGGTAAAAGCTTGTTTACTGTCAATAGATGAGACATGGCCATTTTGAGCAATTCTGGTTCAGTAACATGAGATACATGAAGTTGTTTACACGCAAAAGACAGATGGGGAATGCCTCTGCAGTGATAGTTTACATTTCTTTACATCCTTTTTGTGAATATTTTTTTAAAAAACTTCACTACAGATTAGCTAGGTGCTGAGGAAATAAAATGCAGGAAAATTCAGGGAGTCCAGCTGTAGTTCGTAATGTCACTGTGATTTGGATTTCTTTTTTTCCTCGAGGACACTGAGAATTTGTTACTGTTCAACAAGTGATGGTGCTGTATCGGGGCTGCTGATCATGCTCTAGAAACGAGGTGCTGCAGAGGCAGTTGAATTGCAGCAAGGAGAAGGGGGCCTCCATCCAAACTGAAGGAAAGGTGCCTCCTAAGGCGCTTTCCAGAGGAGCCGGGAGGAGCGGAGCAAGCTGTTGGGCTCGCTCGGGGACTCCGGCACTGCGCTTGTCAGCGTGCCATAAAATAAAACCAACGTGTGTTTGGCTCAGAAGTGCGTTTCTGGTGAAAGGCCTGCGGACTGCAGTGAGGAGCCGAGGCTGACGCGCAGCTGCGTGCCGTGGTGCGGTTCGCGCGATGGGTGACAGCGAGGCCGCAAGTCGAG